ATGAGGCCTTAATTACCCTTGCAACTTGAAGAGAAGAAAAAAACCTAGTGAAACTGAAATTAAGATTCCAATAAAAATCGAAGCCTTTATGAGTTTGACTGCTTCTGTGAAAAGTATTCTTTACAGAATGCATATCCTTTGGACTACTGGGATGCGAATCGCTCTAGCTCCCTTCTCCTAGGGTTACTTGGAGAATACGCATTCTGGATTCTAACTTTTGATCCCAAGGTTAACTCAGGGCTACTCATTGATGTGGGGATCTGAAACACAATAATTAAAGGCTTAATTTAACAATAAACTTTTTAGTAATAAGATATGTACCTTTTAATTGTTTACGTAACCAAGTCTATAAGAAATTGTCACACAAGTTAGAGCATTACCTAATGGGGATGTTAACCACTATGACAAGTCTGACTTATTAAAATAGAACTGAATTTTGAAAGATGTTTGAGTAATTATATGGTCGTAAGATTAAAGATTAACTCGACTGATTCGTCTTTCTTTCGTCTCAAAAGATTCATAAATATAAAATTTCCTTTTTTAGATGAGATGAGATTACTATATAGCAATACTGACACTAAGCTCACAATTCATTTAAAAAAACAAATAATAATGTTTGGACTTTGTGATCGAGTGACAAAGAGATAAGCTTACGATGTCAACACATTTTACGTTTGATTTACCTGATACACGAACTAAGTCACATTGTTCACGGAATACTTCAGGTTAATCAAAAAGAAAACAAATAATAATACAACCTCAAACATATTAGTTACTTGGTTCGCAAGTATGCACACATAGGTGAACAAAGATAAAAAGAGTTTCAATAATTTTCATGAAGTGATACAAGTACAGTGCAGCGTTCGTTAAGATTCAGGGTGACTTCTTCATTCAAACAACATTGCGTAACCATATAAGAACAAATTTCAAGTGTTTAATAACTCAAGCGATCATTGAACAATATCATCGAATGAGATAGGAGTTTTTGCAGCCAACGCCTCTGACTTCTCCTTCTCCAGTTGAGCTTCCACATCTGAGCACTTATGCTTCAAATCTTTCAACTCTTTCTCGATCTCTTGCCTACGAATCTCACCATTTTTCTCCTTCTCCTTTATTTCTGACACTTGAGAAATTTTCTTCTCCAGCCAATCCAACTTAAAACCAGCATCAGTCAAGCACTCCAGTGCATAAAACGCCTCGCCTAGATCATCCTTGGGGAGCTGCTGAGGCGACTGGTACAGAGTATCAATAAGACTGAGTAGCAAATTCATGTACCCTGTCCTAAGATTTGGGTTCTTTAGATGGACTTCAGAAGCAGTTTCTGGATGATTTTCAAATATGCGGCTCACAGATTCCACCTGAGAGTGAAAACATAAATACAAAGTAGAATCTATATCCCCAAGACACCATAAAAGCACCTTGTTCACTCTCGTTGGTGAAATTTTCTACACAATTTTTTAACATTCTTAGATTCTTACCTGTGAAGGAAGAAGGTGAAACCCATTAACGTCTACTTTGCCAATAATTTCAAGAAGATCAATCTCGACAACAATCTTGAGCTCCCCATTTACAAGGAACCCACTATCTTTGGCATTAATTTCATCAAGAGAGATCATAGATGGAAAACCCCAGCCGATAGCGTTCTCTTCAAACCAGCGTTCTTTGTCTGTAAAACCACAAACCATTATTCATCTAACTACATGAAATATGCTTATGTGGATTGAATAACAATGTTCAAAACTTACACTGAAACTAATCTAAATACAACTCAATTCAAAACAGCCTTGGGCTTTTGGGCAACGTGGAATTTCAGCAAATAAAGAGACTTAGACAATATAGCTGTGGAATCCAAACTGAGAGATTATTAAATTTGAAGGTTTGATTCGTTAGAAGATGTGATGAGAGCAGAGCCTTCCTTGACATTTATAAGTTCATAGTTATTTTAAAGTAAATTCATAAAACAAATCATATTTTTTGCACCATAACACACACATATTAGCTCTGAAAATTTTGAGAACCAAGAGGAATGTTTCATCAAGTTTTGTCTAGAACCAGTAGTGGAAGAAACATGTTATATTGGATTGTCACCGTTCAACACATTATTTTGTGTTTATGATATTGCCACTGAATATAATTTGGAGACGGGAACTATATATTTCAAAAGGACGAGTACGAGGAATGAAAAACTTTTACCATATTGCCGGGAGAGTGTATCAGAACGTTGATTTACAACAATGAGGCGATATCGTGTGTGTCTTCTCCATCCAGATGGCAATGATCCATAATCTGCGACTTCCAGATACAAGGAAAGATAGTTATCAACCTTGTTTCCTTTGGGATATGCACTAAGACGCCTGCAAGCAAAATCGAATATAAGATTTAAGCAAAACTGTGGAGGATATATATCACCTTAATCTATATGGGTGGAAATAGGGCCGGTCCTGGGCCAAGCGTAACGAAACATTCGCCTTAGGCCCCCAAAATTTTTGAAAAAAATTATATAGATAAAGGCCACCAAAAAATTTTTTTAGGCCCCAAAATCTATCAAAAAAAAATTTTAGTTCAAGTATTTCATAAATCGTCTAGGGCCCCCAAATTTTCAGGACCGGCCGTGCAAACCATACCATTTGCAGCCACGGACGACGAAAATATCTGACAATATATTAAATGATTGCAAAGAAGTGAAATCTTTGATCACCCAAGTGAACTTCTTATCAAATTTCTTCTCCATTGATCTCGGTAGAGAGAGACAATAAAACCTAGAACCGGGAGCGGCTCTCAACACAATTTTTTGGACTTAGATAATCAAACAGTATATATGCGAGATATATACATTTAAGATTCCATTATTCCTAAACTCTTCATTAAGGATTTAGGCAAACAATATAGGAGTTGCAGATATTCTCCAATGTAAATATAACTTTATGAGTTTGCAACTTGCAAGACACCTTAACTCATTGAATTGTAAATGTTAAGATTACGTACACCATGCACCGATGCACGAATGAGAATTGCTTTCATTTCCTCCTATGGTTACTTCGACCATGGCCGTTCTGGATTCCATATACATGTATTAAGTTACGCATACACATGCAATGTTATTTTATTTATTTGACCAAGGTTTCTCATTATATATATACGATCACATATATAACAAGTTACGAAAATAGATAAATAAGTGTCAAAGAGTGCTAGGGGATAAATAACATTTGGAACTAGAAGAGAAATATTGTAAAGTTAAGTAGAGAGCTCTATATTTAGAGAATTCATCTAACACAGATCGATATTAGATATAAGTAAAGAGGAGAAGATTAATGCTAACATCGATTGGATATTTGTAGCGTGGACGTCAAGCCACATGTTTGGATGCGAATCTTCCTATTTATGACCTAGGAAGTTTCAATAAAAGTAGAGAGGTTGTGGAAACTTCCGCTGTAATTCATCTATCTAACAACTAAAGAACGAGCATACCAGAACATCAAGTAACGACGAAACTCTCAGATGAATATCTTGGAAGTCAGGACATAAGATAATCAAACGACTGAGCAACTTTTGCAAACCTTGAAACCGAATACAACAGAATATATTCCAATTTCTACATTATAGTTTTGTCTTTCAAAACCAATACTAGATTTTGACCCGCGCTTAAAAAACACGGGTTTTTGTTAGACTATAAAGAAATTTGATATGAATTAGTATTTGGGAATTGATGCACATTTTTATGTGAATCGTATTATATCAAAATAGATTTTTTTTTGAAAATTATATAATTTATTTGAAATTTTGTATGTACATTTTTGATGTAATTTTCTCTAGATCTTGGCATTTTACCAAGATCGAAAAACACGACTGTAACCAACCCGACAATATAGGTTTGGTTTGGATCCATGAAAAAATGCCTACTGTCTATTTTTAAAAACCTGCAGGAATCGATTCTAGTCTGGATCATACCCGAGACCCGATCGAGTAAATAAAAGTACTCAATTTTTTTTTTCATATTAGATATGTTTTAATAGTTCATATATGTTTTTTGGTATTATGTATATTCTTGCAAGTTTCACTTACAATTTTAGGTTTCAGGTAAAATTTTCACAGAATATATATATTTTGGGAATTTTTGTTTTTCAAGTCAGATTAGGTAAAATTCAGGATTTTCAGATATTTGAATATATTTTGAGTATTTATTTGTGGTTTGAAGTATTTTTTTGAGATTTGAGTATTTTTCGGGTTTATTGGTACTTCTGATCCTAAATATCTAAACCTACCTAGACCTGCTACATACCTGAAAATTAGAAATTACTACACTGGATATACATAGAAATTAGATAATTCACAAAAATATTAAAAGTATAAGTTACAATCTTTCACGAATCTAGATATATTTATAAACAAAAGGTTTAAAAATATTTTCTCTAGAATAAAAAATCATTAATTACTATAACTTTTTTGCGTAAATACCTCCAAACATTAGAATACTATGATAATAAACCGATTTGTGTATTATTACCATATACTATGTTATAAATAGGTTTACTCTAAAAAATAATTAAATTTTGGTTTTACCCAATTATATAATTTTTTACTTAATCATAAAAAAAGTTAGTCTAATGAAAAGGTCCAAATAACTTTCATAGATAGATATATTTAAACTACTTATCTTTTAATAGTATAGATAGATTGCTACAAATTTATATATATTCTCCAAAACTGAAGGGAGATGAAACAAATTAATCCAAACCAAATTTAAGTTCAAGCATATTAAACCGAATCAGACAAGCTTTACACCAATTCTTATGAAATTTGTTTTTTCATAATATGAGTTATACTTGTATAAGTAACTCAGCCTGTTGTTTTTTTCCTTTACTTCAACCATATTGCTTCTTTTCCTTCACTTCATTAAGCTTCTTCTCCAACCACTCCACCTCCAAGCCAGAATCTTTCATGTAGGCCAGTGCTTTCTCTGCTTCGACCAGATCATCAATGGAAAGTTCCTGAGGTGTTTGGCAAAGCGTCTGAGTAGCAAGACATTTGTGCATGCAGTCTTCAGTTGTTGGTTCCTCGCACGGAATTCCACTACACTGTCTCTGACCGAGCACGCAGATTCTACCTGCTAATAGAGACATATATCACAGGAGTATGGTATGATAAAGACCTGAAAACTCACGTAATCAAAGAAGAAACTAAAACGTAAAACCCACTGACATCAGTTATGTTACATATACCTGGCTAAGAGGATTTCTCTCTTCAGATTTCTCTGAGGTGCCAGCAACTTGAAGAACATCTACCGCGGGAACTATCATGAGTTCGTCGGACAAGGAACCCTTCATTTTTGTCATGGATTTTGGCTAAGGGAATCATAGTTGGAAACCCCCACTGGGAATTCTTTTGATCAAACCAGCGATGTGATTCTGTAGAATTTCATGACAATAAATCAAAATTGAATTATAGTACTGCATAAACGCCCTGTTGCATCTAATCAATAATCACAACTCATATAGACATCACATTATTCATATCATAAAATAGTAACTTGCAGCATAACAAGACCCGTGAGTAGCAAAATGCATAAAATACATGAAGTTTCCTTTGCCATAGATGAATGAAATGAAATAAAACAAAACAGTAGAGTGAAGTAAGAATCACTTTTGAGTACTGAGGGTCCTTCCGAAACTTGTTTTGCTATTGTTAGCCGAAAATTCATCAATCTTCTCCATCCAATAGGCAACGATTTAACATCAGCAACTTCCAGAGTGGTCACTACTATTAAATCTTCCCTTGGGATAGACAGATAGACGCCTGAAGAACATGAGAAGACACGAATCACTAAGCAAAACCATAGAACAGTTAGAAGAATAGTTTTTACCATTTGCAATCACCAATCTGGACTTGGGTAGAATAACACTTCTCACGCAAAGTGGAAAAGTCTTTGATTACCCAGGCGAACTTGTGGCCAACTTGCTTTGTCATTGAACTGAGAAAGGATACTTAATGTTAAAAGTTCTGAAGGAAACTGGATTAATGGACAGACTAAACAAGTTCTTAAAGGCATCCCAAATTAACTAGGAGGAATGCGAACAGGTTTGTATTGTTCGCGACTCTTCAAATGCAGTAGGTAATTATTGTTCGTAGCAAGAGACTTTGGCTCTTATTTAATAAACACTAGGTAATTATCCGCACCAAACTGCGGACTGAATTAATAGAAACTGACTTTTACTTATAAATTTATGTTATTTTGCTACTAATAAAATTTATAAATTGTTTATATAAAATTAACAATACTTTAATTATAGTTTTGAAATATAAATTATTTGAAAGTAGTAAATGTGTGAAGATATTTCGATAAGTATTTTATATTTTAAACTAGTGGTTGGCCGGCGCTACGCGTCGGTTTGCTAATATTGATATGGTTTAGTTATGATTTTATAATTTAGAACATTTTTAAGGGTATTTTAGAAAACAAAATATGTATCAATTATATAGAGATATATTAATTTGATTCTAGTCTCTGCATCTTAATTATATATTAAATTTAAGTTTAAATATAGCCTGACAATTTTAAAATGTAATCTCTGAATTGTTTGTTATCTCTCATTTGTGTAAAGTGTTTACTTTGTGGGTTTAAAGATTAGGTTATTTATAGGTATAAAATAATAGATTGTGAAGTAT